CCTGAGCCACGCTGGTTGCCTTTGGGTGCTGTTTGGGGCTGGGATTAAGTGGCCACAGGTAAGAGGCAACTTGTTGGTCCTCAGTATTTAATTAAAAGTGTGTTTCTGCAAGGGGCGGCTGCAAAACTGGTGCTTTCTTGCTCCTCTTTGCTCCCGGAGCAGTTGTCCATCGTCGCTGGCCGGAGACGTGGGCACGTCTGCTCGTCTCCCCCACGGAGTGGTGAGTTCACCCCTCCACTCTGAGCAATGAGTTAACACTGTTGGCTCTGTGCTCTGCCTAAGCCCTCAAAACAGGATTGAAATGAAGCTTAAGCCATGAGCAGGGTCCTGCAAGGACCTCCTGGCCTCTGAGCAGAAGCCCTCAGGAGAGCTAAGATGGTCCCTTGGGTAAGGGCGAAAGACAGGCAGGGAATTTTAGGTTAGGAGAAAGGGGAAAAATGGATGAACTGGGGCAAGATAGAAGAGAAGGGAAGCAAGGGTTTGTTTTGCAAGAGAGATGCATGATTTCTCCCATGCTCCTGCTCTGTGGAATGAGGAAAGAGGTGCTGAAACAAAGAGGGAATTATAGCAAGGACTAACCGGTCAAATATTGGACCAGAGGGAATTGAATGAAGCTGTGTCAGGGAAGGTTTAAGTTGGATATTAGGAAAAGGTTTTTCATCCAAAGTATGGTTGGGCACAGGAGCAGGCTCCCCAGGGAAGTGATCATGGCCCCAAACCTGACAGAGCTCAGGGAGTGTTTGGACAATGCTCTCAGGCACAGGGTGGGATTGTTGGGGTGGTCCTGTGCAGGGCCAGGAGTTGGGCTTTGGTGATCCTTGTGGGTCCCTTCCAACTCAGGGTATTCTATGATTCCATGAAATAGGTGATGCTCTCCTGTCAGTTTGCCAAGTGCCATATTTACTCCTGGTTTTATTTTCATGTCCCACTCAGCCCATCCTGGATGCACCATCAGCCCGATCCAGTGCACGACTGAGCATTCCTGCAGGAATTCACTGGATGAGCCATTCCCAAACATGTCAGTAGGTGGCAAAAAGCTACAACCCTTTTGCTAAGCAATAAATAAATATTTTTTTCCTACCTCTACAAGAACGGGAGGGATCTGTGGGCAGCTCTGTGGCATTGGCAGAGATGGATGTTCTCTCCGGGACAGAGACAACACCAGCACTGCTGGGAAGGAGGGGCATCCCAGAATCCAGTATCAGGGGCAGGTAAAGAGGCTCAGAGAGAAACAGGAGCTGCCTCCTTCCTCTTAATTCATCTGGGGACCCTTTTGCCACCTCTTGACCTTGCTCAGGAATTATTTAAAGAAAGCTGGAAGCTGTAAGAACATTGGAAAACAACAGGTTTAGGGCTGTGCTATCACAGAGCAGTCTGAGGATACGGGTGAGACAAACCAAAACGTGCCAGGCTCGGTTTTTTTTCAAGCTGCTGATAAGACTTTAATCTTCCTGTACAGCCTGAAAGGGAGCTGCTGGAGTCGGTGTTCTCGGGTGCTTTTCTCTGCAGCTTTGTGTAAGCAGATTGAGGCAATCCCAGTGGCCTGTCACACACCTTCCCCTGAGGCAGGGCAGATAAAGGGTTTAATAAGGTTACTGGATACACCCCAGTGGCTTAGATGGTGGGGTTTTTCTCTGCTTTTGAATGTGTGTGTGTGTGTGTGTGCTGGGGAAGGAGGATGTTATGTGATGCTGAAGACTCGAATTCCTGAGGAAGTCAAATACTCTGAGCACCAGGTGGGACAGAGCACCAGGAAGGTTAGAAAATCCCATTAATCCAGACTAGTCAATGAGATCCAGTTACAGCATGGCTTTGTTCAGCTTTGTTTACCTAACACCTCACTAAGTGTAATTAAATAACATTTTTTTGCTCAGGAACAGTAACAGAGATATTGCAGCAGCCCTGGCTGCTTTTTAAAATACAGAAGGAGGATTCATTGGCATTTCCTCTCATGAATTGTACATTTAATTGCTAATGATTTTGCCAGGCTGGTGCTGACTCCGGGCTGAGCATTATCATTTTGATTTAACACTTCAGCAGAACCGGTTCAGCTAATCCTGAGCTGGAGGAACTTGGTTTGCTCTGGCCGTGTTTGCAGCAATGAAAACATCCTAGAACCATTTCCCTGGGAAGATCAGATGTCCTTGTGCTGGGGGGCAGGGATCTATCTGACCTACGTCTCCCCTTTCTTCTGGGCTGTGCCGTTTGCTCATGCCCATATCCACATCGTTAACTGCATAAAATCTCCATTCTTTGTCATTTTGGTAAAAATTGATCATGTGAATTTTCTGAAGGTGCTGAATCCGGGCTGAGCAGCTTCTGCCTCAGCACAGCTCCTCTGTGTGGACACATCTAACCTACAGGAGGGTTCCAGCCTTGCCTAAAGGCTTTGAGTGGTGTGAGATAGCAACCAAAACACCTCTTTCAGCCAGCGGGTAACTCACCCCATCCCAGGATAGAAAGGGAGAAATGTAACCCCTGGAGATACCCATTACTCCTCCTCCCAGCTCTAACAGCATAGTGACTGGTTTTTATCATCTTCACAGCCCTGAGGTAGCCAGAATTAGGTCAGACAGACCTCACTCCACTTCCCTGCTGAGAAACCTTCCCTCTTGGCTCTTCCTCCTCTGCCTGCACATTTCTCCCCACCACCAAAATCAAACCCTGTGCAAGTTTCCTCATTGTTATTCTTTAAAACTCATCCCACACGCATTCCTGCAGCCAGGATGCAGCAGTGCTCCAGCCTCTCCCTCCCCAGGGAGGCACGTGGGGGTCAAGGTGAGGGGCTCTGCTAAAACACAGACTGGTTTCTGTGGTGTGTGACTGGGACCGAAGCTGTGTGTGCCCAGAAATGGTGAGTGGCAAGTTTCCTCCTCTCTAAAGCTGATTAACACCACTCAGCCCTCCAATGATGAGCTAATATCCAGCATTTGGGATTGGGAACTATTCAGTGGAAAACAGCCCTGTGAAGTCTTCCTTGATGAGTTGCAGAACACCAGTTGTGTAAGGCTGAGGGTTGTTTTAATCTCCTGCAATTTGTGGAAAAAAACAAGTTTCATACTTAGTAACAAAGAAAACATTTTTATTTCCAGCATCTGGAAGGATGTTAGAAAACATGGGAAGAGGATGAGTTGCACCCTGCCTCTCTACAAGTTGTGATGAATTAATACAGTCAAGAACAGCATGGCCAAACAATTTTGAGCACCAGAAGTATTTTACAGAATCAGAGAATATTTTGGGTTGGAAGGGACCTTAAAGACTATCAAGTTCCACCCCCTGCCATGGGCAGGGACACTTTCCACTAGCCCAGGTTGCTCCAAGCCCTGCCCAACCTGGCCTTGAACACTTCCAGGGATGGGGCAGCCACAGCTCCTCTGGGCAACCTGTGCCAGGGCCTCACCACCCTCACAGCCAGGAATTTCTTCTCAATATCCCATCTAACCCTGCCCTCTGGCAGTGTGAAGCCATTCCCCTGTAATGGAAGCGGGTTTGCTGATTTTACTGCCTCTGTAAGAGCAAATTCTGCCCGTTGTAGATTGATAAATTAATGCTCAGAGTCTCCTCTTTGCACAGTCTGGGATATGGATCGACTGGTCCACAGGCACTTCTCCGTGGGCAGCACTCTTCCCCAAGGCTGGCAACATGATTATTGGAAAACTAATCAGCTCTATCTGAGATAAATTGCATTTCCACCAATTATAGCTTAATTGTTGACAGATGGGAACACAGAAGGGAGATGTGTCACATCATTAAGAGAACAGGTGTATAGACAAGTGCCAGATTAATTGTTCCAGCCCATTAAATCATTGACCTTTTCAGCACATCCTCAGCGTCGAACTCAAAGCTCTCACGATATTTCCAGCTCACACACGATGACTGTGTCTATCAGCGAAATTCTCAGGGCGTTTTTAAAACACACAGGCTCCAGACATGGACTCACTGGCCATGAGCACCTCTTCTTCCTAATTAAAATAATTCCTCTTCCTCCTCCTTCCCTGTGTTGGGGTTTGTTTTTCTTGCTTTTTTCCAGCGGAATCCCGCACGCTGTGTGGGATTTTTCCAAGGAGGAGGTTTTCCCATGAAGCCGTAGACATCTTGCCATGGGCCACACACTCTGGGATGTCAAAAGGAGGTGAAATCACAATAGAGCAGTTCAATGCTGGGCTGGAGGCTCCAGCTTTGGTTTGTGGCTTTGGCTGTGATTTCCAGCTCCTGCTCTGCCTGGGATTTTCCATAAAGCTAAATACTGCTGAAACTGAGTCAGCCACGGGTGTCTCGTTCCCTTAAATAAGCGTAAAAATGTGTCTCCTGCTCTTTTCCTGGCTTTGTAAGCCAGGAAGCTGAGGATGCAAAGCAGACACACCACAACAGCTTTGTGGGAGGTAGCACAGGTTTGGGACAGCAATGCAGGAAAGGTTCATCTGTCCCGAGCTGTCCAAGCCCTGCTTGTCCTGGATAACTGAGAAATGACTCCAGGTCTAGTTATTCTGGGTGTCCTGGCTTGAAAAATGAAAGGATAAGATTGGATGGACCGACAGGGACAACCAGACAGGAGACAGGAGAACTGGGGGAAGTTTCCTCTCAGATAACGAATTATTTTACAAGGAAAAGCAGATAATTTAATTAAAAATACTGTTCATGTGAGATGGGAACCGCAAGAACCTCTTTGACAGAAAAGAAGTGAACCAAACCTGGATTTTTCAGAATAGTACAAAACTGGAGGTTGATACTGAAGAAAGTACAAGTATTTCTGTGTCTGATACAGGAGAGGAGAGGAAAAAAAGAAGTCAAAAAAGGAATTTTAGAAATGCCAAAATATTTATTTTAAAGACTTCCTGAGTAAATCGTTTTAACTTGCTTTTTGAACTGGGTTTTGTGGTTTAGAATAAGTTCAACCCAACTTAAACAGAAAGACTGAGTGACCCAAAAGCAGGTGAAACATTTAATTTCAGTTGGAATTTAATATTTAGGGTTAACCCAGAATTTTTTCTAGGTTCTGCTTTCTTTTTTTTTTTTTTTTTGCCATCCTCCTCCTCTCTCTACCCCCAGTTCATTGCTGCTCTGTCCAGGGCATTTTCCCCCAGATATTTTGGTGCAGCCACACAACCCAGACAGCCATTATTTGCTCCACATCAGTGACCTCCTTGTTTCCAGCTGTCCTTTCCCCTGGCCTGTGCTCCCAGAAGTGCCACTTACAGCCAGCACTGTGTCTCCACCCTCAGTCCATCCGTCTGTGGGGGGGAATTCCAGTCCCACCAGAGCTGGGACTTGTTTCTTCACCACATCCCTCTCACCCCAAGCTGTGCCACTAGAAATCCCTGTCAAAGAAGTCGTCAAAGAGGGAAACTCTCTCCGTCTTGGTCCTCACAAGTGCAGGTTTGCGGTGAATCTTCTCCTCCCTTTCCCACTCCTCAGACCCCGTGCTGGAGGTGTCCCAGAACAGATCCCTCGTCCGGGGCTCCCTGCAGAACCACAGGTCGACCTTCCCTCTTCTGCCTGGAGACAATTCAGCTCCATCACGTTGTCTGGAGAGTCCTTCACCCCACGTGTTTCCTTGGGGAGAGAAAAAAATCAAACATCATATGTTTGCTGAGCTGCGTCCTCAGACACCTGGAGTTTAGCTGGAAATGGCTGTGGGCTGCTGGAGGCACGTAAAGAAGATCCTGAGAGATCCCCTGTAAGACCAGACTCCCTGCTCAGGGCTGGGCAGGGTGAGGTAGAATTCACTCAGGATTATATTGGGAGAGGTTATAGGGTCTGGCGGGAGACAACATGGCTTTGTCCCCAAGGAGAAGAGAGCTGAGGTGAAGAAACACAAGGGAATAGGAAGCCAAGCCTGTTCCCCTTTCTCCTGGTGAAAGTTCACCTCCAGACAAGTTTTTCACTGATTTAAGCACTTTTACCCTCAGTGGTACATTTCCAGCCTGTGCCAGGGGTCGTCACATGCAAGCAAAGCAGAACAGGGCTCGTGTCTGGATGTCAGTCTGAAGTGGTGGACGGGACTCACTTCACTTTCCCCTTCCTAAGGGACAGTGGGAAGCAGTTTCTGTATAAAAAAAACCAACCCTAAATAGTGATTAACCTGAGTGACTATAATATTTACCCCATGGTCCTCTGAGGATGGCAGGAGTCCAGAGGCTCCACTGTGCATGTGGATGCAACAGGTTGGTGGACCATGCAGGGGTAAAGCCAGGAGCAGCTCTCTGGCAGCTGCTGCTAAAGAGGCTCATTCTCCAGTTCTTTCTCCTGCTGAGCCTAGTTTGAGCTTCCCAGTGTTCCCAAGGGGGCTCTGACAGGGAAGACACCCCAAAATATCTGGGAATCATAGAATTTGCTGTGTTGGAAGGGGCCCATGAGGATCATCGAGTTAACTTCTGGCCTCACACAGGAAAACACCAAGAATCCCACCGTGTGCCTGAGAGTGTTGCCCAAATGCTCCTTGAGCTCTGTCAGCTTTGAGGCTGTGATCACTTCCCTGGGGAGCCTGTTCTGGTGCCCAGCCACCCTCCGGGTGAAAAACCTCTCCTGATATCCAACCTAAACCTGCCCTGACACAGCTCCAGCCCTTCCCTCGGGTCCTGTGACTGGCAACAGAGAGCAGAGATGGTGCTGCCCCTCTGCTTCTCCTTGTGAGGAAGCTGCAGGCTGCCGTGAGGTCTCCCCTCAGTCCTTCAGGCACACCAAGGGGGAGAGACAAGGCTGACTGCTCTCCCTAAAAATAATCTCACAAGGTCCCTGAAAACAACTGGTGACCTCAAATCATCCAGGTTTCCCCTTTGCTGCAAGGGAGTATCACAATTCCTTTCTCCAGAGCAGAAAGCCCTGAGCTGTACCCAACCTGGTGCAGCAGACAAGCTCTTCTGAAGGCCACCCTGCTTGACCCCAGATGAAGATATGAGCTGAGTGTTTGCACCATGTGCCCTGATATATTTTGCCAGGGCACCACACAGTTGTGCACCCAGCACTGACCTCAGCTGCCAGTGGTTCAGCCCTGTGATCCCTCCAGGAATGACAGCTGGCACGGGGCTGTCACTGGGGCAGGGTGGGGCTGGGGCTTGGCTGTAGCTCCCCAGAGTCACTCATATCTCAAAGGAGAGTTGGCAGGGCATGTTTTAATCAGCAACTTTCAACCCTGCCAGAGTGACCACCGTGACATTGTCACAGGCCACGTCCACCTGTGCACAGCTCAGGCTGGAGCAGGAGGTGTCCTATGCTGGGGGCAGATGGCAGGGGGCCAAAACTGGTGTAAGGGTTGTTTTCCAACTGTTTCCCATTTTATTTCTTTGTATGTTCACCCATCCAGCATCCTGGGATGCTTTTTCCTGATGGATGTCCTGACTCTCTAAGGATGTTGGACCCCAGGGACACCCTCTGTTCTCACACCCAGTTTACTGTACAGGGGACATATGGGATAAATAAGACTCTCCTGACAGTGGGAACCTGCTCCTGAAGCGGCCTGGCCCTAAGGACTTTGAGTTTATACCTCTCTGCCTTGTCCATGGCTTTTAATCCACATCCACTTGGGTCTGTTTGGATGCTGTCAGAGAAACAGCCCAGAGCCCTGCGACCTCTCCGAGGCATCCCAATGCTTTGCCTTAAAAACACATCTCCCAGCCTTCCTCCTCCAGTCCTTTGAACCTGCATCTTGTCTCTGCAGGAGATGGAGCAATGGAAGCATCTTCCATAGGGAAACCTCTTTGATGACATGTGGGAGGCTGGTGAGTTTTACAGCTCCTTGGAAAATTATTCTACTCACCATGGTCGTCTTCGTGAAAATGCTGATTGTGCTCAGCAGGGACAAGGCCTCGGCTTTCCTTGCTGTTGCTTCTCTGGAGAATGTCAAGGATGTCCATTGGGCTGAATTCCTTGATTTTTTGTTTATTGGCTTTTGCCTCCCTGTGGAGATTTCGCTTCAGCTCCGCCTGGGTTTGCAAATGAGTCGTCAACACAAACAGCAGAGGAGCAAAGATGTTTTAACATCTTAACATGGCACAGCACTGGGGGGGTTGGCCCTGGGAATAACTGCACAGTCGAGGAGTTTAACCCAAGCAAATGGTATTTGCCAAACTGGGCACGTGACACAACATGACCAGGACAGAGATTTTTGGTTTCTCCAGGAGTCATGGCCAAACGAGGGCAAAGCGTTGGAAAAATCGGAGGAAATTACTGATCACAGGGGCCCTGGGGATGCTTTCCACCTCTCCTCTGCCTAAGACACCGGGAAAGCTTAATTTCACCTTCCCAGTAAGAGGCTTTAGGTCTCCTGGTCCTTGGGAGAGACAGCCCCATCCCCTCCCCAAATCCATCTCGGCATTACCTCTCGTCGCTTGCGGGTCAAGTCCAGCATCTGAAGCTTGTGTAAGTGTTGTCTCCTGCCAGGGAGGTGATTCAGGCTTTGCCCCCTCTTCTCCAGCACCTACCATGTATTGAAAGATGTAAATAAATACACCTGCACTTTCTGAAAGAGGAAGGAAGAGCCACCAGCTCACAAACCCCTCGGGCGCTCCTGGATAAACGATCTCCCTGCGAAGCCAACTTGCAGAAATTTATCCCAGATTTCCACTGCACTTGCAGTTTATCTCACAGCTCTGGAGCACGAGGGAAAAAACTTCATTAAAACAATGCATAAGTGTTTCTGCCCCCCGAGGTGTTACCTTGTTGAGTCAGTTCTCCAATATTATCTCATGATCCAAAGGGAAGAACCAATTTTGGATGTTTGGGGTTGCAGGGGGTGTTTACAGTACACAGCACTTGCAGCCTTAAAATCGTAGGCTTATGGATTTGTTAAGGTTGGAAAAGGTCTGTAAAATAATTGAGTCCAGCCATTAACCCCACACTTCCAAACCCAGCACTAAACCATGTCCTCCTGTGCCATATCCACACATTTTTTGAACACTTCCAGGGATGGTGACTCCACCACTTCCCTGGGCAGCCTGTTCTAATGCCTGACAATTCTTTCAGTGAAGGAGTTTTCCCCCAGATCTAATATAAACCTCCCCTGGCACAATTTGAGGCCGTTTCCTCTCATCCTGCCACTTATTACCTGGGAGCAGAGCCCAATCCCCACCTGGCTCCACCCTCCTTCCAGGGAATTGTAGAGAGCAATAAGGTCTCTCCCTTCTCCCCACCGACTGCAGGGTGGTCAAGTTACCCAGCCACTAAAAAGGGTGGTCCTCACACTCCTAGCCTCAAAAATATTTAATATCCTGTCTCAGCAGGTCCACCTCATCCAGGGAACTGTCATGCTGGAAATTCAGAAACTTTCCCCTTATTTTGGATCCTTTCACCCACACACCGGTGTCTCAGCCAGAGACGGGAGCACAAACAGTGTAAAACATCAACTTCTGCCCTTTAGGGTGCCCAAACTATAAGGGAAACGATCCTGCAGCCAGGAGTGGCCTGTGCATGGGCACAAACTCACGTGCTTACCTTTGGTTTTGGGCTTGCAGCCACTCCTCGCTGACTCCAGGGCTTCACAGGAGCGATTGCTTGCGGAGGGACAGCGGGTTCAAGCCTCTACAAGTCCAATATTTATAATATTTAGCATTGCTCATTCCACAGAATCATGAAACCTGATATGAAACTACCCTGACATTTTGCCAGCTCCACTTCTGGCCTGTCTGCTTGGGATACAAGAAGGAGTTTGGCATCTCAAGGAGGTGAACATCTCCTTTGGCCCTTCAGAAGAGGACAAAACTCTCCATGGAAGTCTCTTACATCACAGTCAAAGCAGCAAAAGCCCAGTCTGACATTAGTTTCATCCCTGTGGGTGTTTCTCTTTGAGCCTCAACATCACTGAAGGCTCCACCCAAGACCAGAGTGAAGACAAACCACAGCTCACACTGTTCATGGCAGAGCTGGAGCATGGAGAGGTGCCATAATTTAATCTTAAGTATCCTATCAGGTCACCCAATGGCAGATCCCAGTTGTATGAGAGCCAGAGCATCGTTCCCTCTGTCTAACCAGTATTTTTTATTTTGGCCTAAGTAAGACCTTTCTTTGCAGAACTGTGCATGGTACAATATGCCTTTCCTGTTGGGGGTGGAAGTGGGCAGAGACTTGCTCTACAGGCTGCTCTGAGCATGGATTTTTATCTTGAGGAGCTAAGATGCCTTTTTAAATTATTTCAAACTATGAGATGTTACTGAGTCTTTTTATGTCATGGTATTCATAGAAACATCAGGATAAGAAAGAACCTCTGAGATCATCAAGTCCAACCATTAACCCAGCGCTGCCAGGTCCATCACTAAACCATGTCCCTAAGTGCCACAACTACACTCTTTTTGAACACTTCCAGGGGTGTTGATTTCACTCTTTCTAGTGTCCCCTTCTAGAATGGGAGCTCAGGATAGCTTCCATAAAAATTAAGGGGAGCATAATCAAAGACTTTGACAGTAAGGCCCGACTTACAGTTTATTTGGGACATCATTAACTCCTTGATTATGAATTAGTGTCCAGTAAATGGTGACATGTCTCTGAGTGTCTGCACTGAACTGCTGCCAAAGCCTGAACTGTAATTTTGAAGCATCCTCTAAATCCGTGAAAACGCAGGAGAAAAGAAGTCAGCAATGTCACATAAAGGGGGAACTCGTCAGGCCCGAAGTTCAAACGTCTCTTAGCACCAAAAACCCCACAAAACTGAACATGAAGCTCAGCAAACGGCACTAGATGGCAGCATGTGACACCACAAACTGCAGTCCGGGCTGTGCCTCGCTCCTGGATGCCACCAAGGATCCATCAGTGTGGGGTGGATGGAGGCAAATAATCTCCTACATCCTACTCATGTCCCTGCTGCTGGTGGGGAAGCCAAGCTCCAGGATTTTGGATTGTGTCCCTGGCTGGAAAATTGACTCTTTTCTTTAGCTTTTGTGAACCTCACCGGCTTTTTTTTCTGGAAATACTCTCTGACTGCAATCCTCTAAAAGCCCTTGAGAAGGCCACACCATCCTGCTCTGCTGCCTTTGAAGATATTCCCACAGGAAAAAGGGCTTTTGCTGTTGCTGTGCACACTCCCTAAGAGCAATGGCACAAGTACAGGGTAGGACTCACAGTGTCTTTGTCCTGCAACGAGTATTAACAGTGTTTTAGTAATGGCTTAAGTACAGCCATGATGGAAATAAGATCAGTGACTAAAAATTCCCTGCTGGTAGGAGATTCCTAAAGGAGGCTGTGATTCCACACAACAGTTCTCAGGGTGTAGCTGGGCTCACTTCAGGTGCTGCTGTCACGTCCTCCCACCAAATCCAGGGACAACTTATTCAACAGCTGGTGCCACCTCTGCTCTCTGAAGCCACCAGTGTCAGCCAGAGCCACGGCCTCGAGTTGGAGGGGTTTAACTGACCCTGCCTGGTGGCTCTTCTGTTCTTTACTATATTAAAAAGACTTTATTCAAAGCAAGGAAGGCTCAAGCAAAGCAACCCTGCTCCAGCAAGTTTGCTGTTCATAGAATCATGAAGTTCTTAAAAGCTTTAGGTTGGAAGGGACCCTTAAGGCCATCTAGTTCCGACATCCAGCCATGGGCAGGGACACCTTCTACTAGACCAGGTTGCTCCAAGCAGGTTCAGATTAGATTTTAAGAATAAATTCTTGCCTGTGAGGGTAGTGAGGCCCTGGCACAGGTTGTCCAGAGAAGCCATCAATGCCCCATCCCTGGAAGTGTTCAAGGCCAGATTGGATGGGGCTTGGAGCAACCTGGGATAGTGGAAGGTGTCCCTGCTCATGACCGAACACAGGATTTGAGCTGCAGCCTAACCAGTGCCAAGTACAGGGATAGACAGAAATTAAGAGAGAAATAAAGATAGAAAGATATTTCTGAGTTTTAGTTATGTAGTGGTAACTCTCATGTGGAGGAAAAACCTGATTGCCAGGTAAGGTAGAGTCATGGGTTTCAGGCCTTGGGGAGGAATGAATCTGGGAAGTGCAGGATGGGGAAATTGAGGGGAGTGTGTGCAGGGACAGAGCAGTCATAGCAGTTCTTGAAACCTAAAATAATTCCTCTCTCGGCATCCCTTACTGCAAAGCATGTCTGTCTGCTTTACCTGCCTCTCTGCTTTACCTGACTCTTGGCCCCTAAGCTGGTGCCAGACCTTTATGGGATACTTGGGCTGAAGAGCCAAAACCAGCTCCACACAATGCAATTTGGATCCCTTCTGCAAAGGGCTCTGTGTTGACCACATTTGCCCCCTGGGAGCACCAGGACTTGACTTCAGGTACCGGGACACCCCAAAGGAAAGTGGGACATCCCAACAGAGTTGATCCCATGTGTCCTTGATGGGTGTCTCCATAGCACATAAAGCTCATCTAGGGATGCCCATGTCCCCAGAAAGCCCACATCAAGGGGTCAATCAGAGCAGCTCCTGAGGAGTTTCTCAAACTCGCCTTACTTGAGGTCTTCGAGGCGGGTGCTGCTTAATGATGCTGGTTCCTTCCTTTTCGGGCATGGTGTTGAAAGAGAGGGGCCCTTAAAGATTAAAGAAATAGATGAAGTTATTTTTGGGTGGTCATCAGCTGCTTAGATGTACTCAGCAATAGCTTTCTGCCCTTCTTTTTGGTTGGCATGTCCCACTTAATTCTCTCTCTGCTCACTCCAGTAACACATGGAGTATTCTATTAGCTGAAGAAATAAAGTGGATGTACCTATGCCTGTGATTTTGAACAAATATCTGCCATGTACCTCTCCAACTTCCCTCTACAACCTCTCATGCATCCTGTATGTGACCAGAACCATCCTTGTGTCTCCTGGGAGCGCTGTGGCCTCTCCCAGCCCCTGGGTCCCCTGTGTGATCAAGGGTTCTCTGCTCCTCCCATGGTTCGTGACCATCAGCTGGCCAAGAAACCCCTGAGCTCTGCTGCTTTCTCACTTCTTGCCCTGTAGAAATTGGGCACAGGCAGCAGTTTGGTTTTTTTTTCTTGCTGCTCAGCTCCTGAGATTTATTACTATTATTTTTTGGTGGGACTGAGAAATACCTCTGATGATTTACTGACCATGGCAGAGCTGGGCTACAGCAGCCAGTGATGCAGGAGTTAGAGGGCTGTGGTCAGACAAGTGGTATGATCACAGACCCTGGAAATCAGCCCAGAATAACGTGTTACACACCAGTGATCCCCTGTTAGTTATTAAAGCAGCGCTTTTGCTGAGGCCTGGATGTGATCCTGGCTTGGGCCTGTTCTGCCCTGGTGCTCCCAGGTGGACACCACTGCCTCTTTTGTTATTTTCTTGCGCAAATAAACACTTGATTGTGCAGTAAGTATTTCTTTTACGAAACAGTTTATCTGTTCATCCCACCTGTTCTCCCCAAAAAAACTGTTTTGAAGTGTTTAAATTCCATTTTATACGCAGAGTTGAGAGAGGTGTTGCTGAGCAGCACCTGCTTCCACGTGGTGGGAGCCCCAAGGTGACCACAGGGGAGAAGAGTTGGGGATGCAGTGCAGGAATTACATTATAGATGATGCCAAATTTAATAGTTACACTTAACAAAAAAAATAATACTTTGGAGGTCAGCTTATGGGGGACATCTATGAGCCTCATGGAAGATCACCAAGCTGGGCTTTTGGAGAAGAGAGAGAAGGTGACCATAGAATCATGGAATGGTTTGGGTTGGAAGGGACCTTAAAGACCATCGAGTTCCAACCCCCTGCCATGGGCAGAGACACCTTGCACTAGACCAGGTTGCTCCAAGCCCTGTCCAAGCTGGCCTTGAACACTCCCAGGGATGGGGCAGCCACAGCTTCTCTGGGCAACCTGTGCCAGGGCCTCACCACCCTCACAGTCAGGAATTTCTCACTGTGAGGGTGTTGAGGTATGGGAGGATATAGTGACTCCATCAGATAAATGTTTTCTGGGCTCTGCAGAGCCCTGACAATGATTAACCACAGGGTGAAGCTGCAGCTGCTCTGCACAGGCAGGAATGGGAGCCTGAAGTGAAAATTTCCAGTGCAGGAGGCTCCTCTGGACACAAACTTCAGCTGTTGGTGGAACACTCACAGAAAGAGCAGCCTGACAGGGCAAAAGGGGGGTTATTGAGTCATTGCCTCTGTCTGCAAATGAGCACATAGGGAATTTCTAAGGGGGAAATCTAAGGAAAATTTTTAAGGAGGTGGCTCATGGTGCTGAGAAATTGGATATGGCACAGGGAAGGGTCTGGCACTTGGGAGAAGCTTGTTCTGGTGAAGGTTACAGCTTTGGGGAAGTTATTTCTCCCTTATGAGGCTATGGGTGTCTTTTGGGTTTTTTTTAATTGTTCCCTCCCATCCTACCCGTGCATATGTCTTTTAGGAGACTTGTCCTTAGCCTCTACAGATACAGAACTTGAGGCCAAGGGCTTGTTGTCCCTCAACCTGCTCAGTCCTGGGGCAGGGAACAGCACCAAGCCCTAGCTGAAGGCATCCTTGTGACTCCTGTTTTTCAGCCTTGCACTTTAGCAGCAGCAGGTTCTCCCCTCTGGGGGAATCTGGATTTAACACAAACCAAGCTGAACCCTCACAAACCAAATAAAATCTATTCTCTTGGAATTCTCTTTGCTTATTTAGACAGGAGCTTGTGCTAATACATCGCTCAAGTCCTCCTGAGCATACAGTTCTTATTTCTGAAAACAAAAAGTTATGAAAAATGGCATCTGTTGGGTGTGTGTGGGGGGGAAGGTTGGAGATTTTTGTAAAATGCACATTTTTAACAAGCACTTGTTAAATGCCCAGCGAAGATAATTTTCTAGAATAGGAATATTTTAGTTGCTCTTGCTATCATGAAGTACTTGAAACCTGCTGTGGTGCAGCCAGATCTGATCTGTATTCTCCCCAAGACCTCAGTTCCGGGAATGTCATTACTGTCATGCCAGAGATTTATTTGCTTTCACAGTTTCCTGATGCCCCTTGATGAACGATCCTGAAGGAAATATCCAGTCCCTTGTGAGGCAGCAGTTCTTAAGGCCACTCAAAGTGTGTCAGGAATTGATTTTTGGGAATGGAAAAGCGGGGAGGAGGATGCCAGGGCTGCGGATCCTCCTTCTTCTGCATCTCCCTTCCTCAAACTCTGCTGGTTTTCATGGAAGTTTCTTGCTACACTCACCTAAAACAGCTGTGGGAGGTGTTTGTCACCACCCAGCTCATCCTAGAGAGCTACACATCCACTTCCAGATGGATGTAAACCTCCCTCCTTACCTCCAGGAATGGTTTGGGTACAGAGGGAGTTTAAAGGCTGCATGGTGCTCTTTGCAGGAAAACACAGCAGCCACACTGTCTGCCTTCCTCTGCTCCTGACTTGGCAAATCAACCCCATACAGGACAGGGCTGGCATTTATTGTAATGCCATTTTACCTGCTGAGCACACAGCCCAGAATCTCGTTCTAATTAGGTTAATGCTAATGATATGTCCAGCAGTGGCACGTGAGCAGGAAGGTGTATGATGGGAGTTACAGGGTAGCTGGACAAGGGCTTGCTTGGACACAAGTGGGTGTCATCATGTGCCAGGTCCATGCTGGGGAGTTGGGCTGTTCCTTGGGATAAGAGTGGTGGGAGCAAGGAGCCTGGGATCTGGTGAGTGAGACACTTTCCAAAACAGGCCATGGAGTGGGGGGGAGGTGGGAGGAGGGGGAACGAGTTTTCCAAAAGCTAAATGTCCTGGAAATGGCCAAAAGCAGATAAAGAACAGCCTGTGCACACACCTACACCCACCCCATACTGCAGTGGGCAAACCCACAGCCCCAGCTGATGTCACTAGTTCACGATATTCCAGCCACGACCTCCTTACCTGAAGAGGCTCTCCCGTACCAGGTCTCCCGGAGAGGTGGAAGTTCCAGGTGGAAAATGGGTTTTCCCCACTTTTCCATGTCTGATGGGTGCAGGCTGGGCTGTCCTGGCACACTGGGGAGCCGGTGCAGGGCAGAGAGAGAAGGCAGGTCCTCTGCAGAGCGCATCGGTGCCACCTTGGTCACCTTGGGATGCGCCTTGGAAGAGCTCAGGCCCATTTTGCAGGGGGGCTTTGAAAGGGAAGGAAAATTCCTTCATGCACCGTCCTCCCTGAACATGGAGGGATCTTTGTGAGTGACTGCAGAGCCTTGGCAACTCCCTGCTGGCTCCACACATCCTTCCTGGCTGGGTTAAACATTGACCTGTCCCCAGCCATTCCCCTGCAGGGATGAGAGGAGCCTGCTGCTGACATAGAAGGGGAACTCACTCCAGGGAGCCAACACTAAGCCCTGGGAAAGCTTTGGTTTTACCTACAAGTGATCTTTAACCAGGGCCATTGTCTGACTGGAGGTATTTCTACAGGCAGCTCTTTTGCTAAATCTTCAGGTTTTGGAAGGAAATTCAATCCTTGGAGCACCAGAAGGGTTAAAGCATCTCCCACCCTGCAGGGGAGAAGTAGCCTTCCTGCATGGGAACAGGGGCTGGCCCAGGAGCATCCTCCACTCTTGTTCCTGCTGGCTGGGAGTACTGCTGGAAAAAAAGAATCTTTAGCACAAACCCACCTGGGAACGCTGGCAAAAGTAAATCATATTCTGTAGTTCATAGAATCATAGAATCCCAGAATGGCTCAGGTTGGAAGGGACCTTAAAGTTCATCTACTTCCAACCCCTGCCATGGGGAGGGATACCTTCCACTAGATCAGGTTGCTCCAAGCCCTGTCCAACATGGCCTTGAACACTTCCAGGGATGGGGCAGCCACAGCTCCTCTGGGCAACCTGTGCCAGGGCCTCACCACCCTCACAGCCAAGAATTTCTTCCTACACTGAGAGTGATGTTCTGGAGTTGCTGCAGGATTTGGGCCAAAGGCGGTGGGATTGGGGCATAAGGGAAAGACCTGCCCTTCTCCATCTGCTCCCAAGGTGTATGAGAGGGTTCTGAGGGCAGAATCCCCTCAGAGCTGTAGGAACAACTCATTTCCAAAATGGAGCGGTCAGAAAATAGGTAGAGAGGATCATTAATGCAAGAAGATTGGTAGTGCAGGGTGGGTTTTGTGGCAGGAGTAGGGTTGTGGGAGGAGGTCAGGGCACCTGTGAGCTCAGATGTGAAACACCTGGGAACCAGAAAACACCAAAAGTGTGAGGCGGAGCTCAAAATGTCACCAGAGACAGGGTTCATTTAGTGGGGGCTTATCCCACAGGGATTCCTGGAGTAATCCTGTGGAGGTTTGCAGTGATTGCAGCCTATTTTGGCTTTTCTAGTGAGACAGAAGTTCCAGGAGAAGGGTTACATGGGGAAGTAAGGGTCATGGCAGAGCCAAGTGTCTGGCACTTGTGGCCAATAAACCCATGGGTGAATCCCTCAACTCTCCCTCGATGGAAATGGGGATGTTTTGAGCTGCAAAATGACACTGGCCAGGGGTAGCACCTCCCAGAAGGAACTATTCATCCCTGGAACAATCCAACCAGTTCATGTTTTCACTCACAAAGCACCGTCATGACTCGTGGTTTTGCTTTACATCAGGTCACACAGGGCACAAGGTGTGGATAAAGGCCTTTTAATTAATTCCCAGCTCTCTGCAAGAGCTTTGGGGCTCTCGGCTGCAGAGAGATGCTCCTGCTCACACCTCTGCTGAAAGGTGGGCAACAGACCCTGCTGGCAGCTGCTTGGTTGGTCTCTGCAGGTACAGGCAGAACCCAAGCCTGCTGTTCACAGCCTTCCCCCGCCCCTCTCCCAGGTGCCATGGGACACAAGGTGTGAAAGGACCACAGGGAGCTAGAGGGACACATTTGTAGCTACCTCACTGGGAACTTTTTGGGAAGCACTTTTTTCAAGAAGCAAGCCCCTTGCCTCCAAAGGGGTTACTCCAATCTATAGTTTCCTTGGGGAGCGCCAGCACATGCCTAAGACAGCCCGGCAAGGCTGAATTCCTTCTGGTCCTTTCAGAACAGGCACTCCAACTCTAGCTCCTATTGCTCCAAGTGTGTTTTCCAGGTTCAGACTAGTGGCCTTCAGTGTGTCCTGTGGAGGTTGATGCTTGACTAAACACCTCCACAGCTTTTCGGGGTGCAGCTGGTAAGGTGACTTTATTATAAAAGCGGGGTACAACTGAATGGCTTAAAGGGAGGAACAAAAAGAGCACTGGACAAAAGGGCTCCAGCCTTAAATAACATGGGTAAGGAAGGCACTGGAACAGAAGGTGGGGTTCAGGCAGAGCATGGAAATTATAATCATATAAGGAAAAAACATAAATATGCATCAACCAATCAGAACACAAGAATCACAAAAAAAGGTATAACCTATACAAAACCATAAAATGACAATGAACCAAATACAGAATTTATAATTTTCAATCCCTTAACAGTGTCCAGCAAGATCTTTAAGTGCACTTAATGTTGTGGAAGTGGCCCTTCAGGATAGAGACTTTTGCAGCCTGAAGTGCCCTTGTCCCTGTGTGTGTGCCCACGGCACAAGGGGCAAAAGCAAGGCAGGAGCGGGCCCGTGAGCTGCAGGGCTGAGGTTTGTGGCGATTGAGTTCCACAAAGATGCAGGTCAGGGGGAGAAAGCAGATGTTTATTAATGTAAAGGGAAGGGGAGGGATGAAGCTTGTTAAGGTAATGGGAAAGGCAGGGATGAAGTGTAGGCAGGAGAAGGGAAGGGGAGGGAAGAGAAGGTTTGGGAAGGGAAGGCTTGGGAAGGTTTGGGAAGGTTTGGCAAGGGGAGGGGAGGGAAGTGAAGGTTTGGGGAGGGGAAGGGAGAGGAGGGAAGGTTTGGGGAGGGAAGGAAAGGGGAGAGAGGGGAAGGAGGGGATGGGAGGGGAGCTGATATTAATCTAAGGGGAAGGGGAGGGATGAATCTTCTTAAGCTAAGGGGAAAGGGAGGGATGAAGTGTGGACAGGGGAAGGTTTGGGAAGGTTTGGGAAGGGAAGGTTTGGGAAGGTTTGGGAAGGTTTGGAAAGATTTGGGAAGGGAAGGTTTGGGAAGGTTTGAGAAGGGAAGAGAA